AAACACACGTTGCAGGTGAGACAGATGTTCCCCCCCTAATGGGGGTACGAGGGAAACCGAACAGGGAGGATATCGAGGGTGTGGGATATTCGTGCTGAATGGCATGGGAGCAGAATGGAGCGGACAGTCTGAAAACTCTGGTTGTTATTGTTGTTTTTGTTGTCGTCGTCGTTGTTGTAGTTGTCGTTGTCGTTGTCGTCGTCGTTATCGTTTTCGCTGTCGCTGTCCTTGTCGTTGTCATTGTCGTAGTTGCTGTTGTTGTTGGTGGTGTTGTTGTTGCTGTTGCTGTTGCGGTTGCTGATGCTGTTGTTGCTGTTGCTGTTGCTGTTGCTGTTGCTGTTGCTGTTGTTGTCGTTGTTGTTGTTGTTGTTGTTGCTGTTGTTGTTGCTGTTGTTGTTGTTGTTGTTGTTGTTGTAGTTGTAGTTGAATTGTCATTCCTAAAGGGGTCAGTGTTGTTGATCCCCCTGCGGTATCCATGGTATTTCTTCGATTCGAGTGCTTCTCCCGGGGCTCGCACCACACCGGGCCTCTGGCCCTGGAGTTACGACAGCAACGGTTCCCGCCTGATGCTTCTTCACAACGTATTCCCGAATCGCGCTCTCGCGCGGGACGTCTCCACAATTTGTGCAGGAGTCGCGCTCTCGCCGTGGGACGTCCTCGCAGTCTATTCAGACGCCGCGCCCTCGACACTCAGGGATCACGCTCTCACTTCAGCCCTTCTCATGATTCACTTGGGAGTCGCGCTGTCGCTCAAGACTTCCTCGCGATTCATGCAGGCCGCACGCTTCAGCAACCCGCCTGCTCGACATGGCTGCCTGGGCCCGCCTTCTCGACCCGCCCTTTGGGGTCTACCCGCCCGAACTGCCCGTCTGGTTCTGCCATGTGTTTTTTGCTCCTGGCCCCCCATCCTGCTACTCTCTGACTCTCTCGTGCTCCGTCCTCCTCCCTCCCCCTGTCCATTCCTTCCATCCGTCCTTTAATCCCCTGCCTTAGGGACTGCACGAAGCACACGTTGCAGGTAAGACAATAAACTCCAAATGGGGTACGATCGAAGACGAAGAGAGCGGTATCGAGGGTTTGGAATGTACGTTTTGAATGGCAGCGAGCAGATCAGAGCGAACAGTCGTAGCATTATAAAGAGTATTGTTGTTGTGGTTGTGGTTGTGGTTGTGGTTGTTGTTGTCGTTGTTGTTGTTGTTGTTGTTGTTGTGGTTGTTGTTGTTGTTGTTGTTGTTATTGTTGTTGTTGCTGCTGCTGCTGTTGTTGTTGTTGTTGTCGTTGTTGTTGTTGTTGTTGTAGTTTTTTTTTCTTTGTTTTTGTTTGTTTTTGCAGTTGTTGAGTGTCCATTTTACTAAATATTTGTTGTTGATCCCCCCTCCGAGGCACACTGTGTTTTTCAAGCGAAGTGCCCTTCTCCGGGCTTGCACCCCTTTTTATTTAGGGAAATCTTTGAGTATCCGAATCGTATCTATGCCCCCGGTTTACAACAACATCAGCCCCCGCCTGATATTTCTTCAAAATTGATTCCCAAATCCCGCTGTTGCGGGGGACGTCCTCACAATTTATACAGAAATCGTGCTTCCGCCCGCGTAGGACCTCCTTGCAATTTATTCAAGAGTCGCGCCTCCAACCCTTAGGAATCACGCTGTCGCTCGGGCCTTTCCCATGATTTACTTGGGAACCGTGCTGTCGCTCGAGACTTCCTTGCAATTCATGCAGGACGCACGCTTCGGCAACCCGCCTGCTCGACCTGACCGCCTGGGCCGGGGTCTTCCCGCTCGATCTCCCCGTCTGTTTCTGCCATGTGTTTTCTGCTCCGCGCCCACCTCCTGCTACTCTCTCTCTGTGCTCCGTCCTCCTCCCTCCATGTCTTGTTTTACGGGCTGCGCCAACTACACACGGCAGGTAGGGAAGATATACCCCCAAGGGGGGTGCGATCGAAGAACGGAGAGGGCGGGTATCGATGGTTTTGAGTATACGTGTTGAACCACACGCGAGCAGGTAAGAGCGAGCAGACTTAAACTTGTTGTTGTTGTTGTTGTTGTTGTTGTTGTTGTGGTTGCTGCTGCTGCTGCTGCTGCTGTTGTTGTTGTTGTTGTTGTTGTTGTTGTTGTTGCTGTTGCGGAGTTTAAGTTACTAAACAATTATTATTGTTGGACCCCTTATAGGCGCCCTGGCGCTCTCGCCGAGGCGCGGGCTGCATTTTCATTGAAAATGAGGCTCACTCTCAAGCGGTTTGGGGGGCCGCCAAAACCGGCCCCCAAACATTCGAGACTTCCTCCTTTTTTACTCAGGGCCGGTGCTCTTGCTCGCCGCCGAAAACAGCCGTCTCAACAAAACCAGCGCTCCCGCTCGAGACTTCCTCCCGTTTTACTTTGGACAGGCGCGCTACTCTTTCTATCATCGGCGCCGCCCTCCAGCAACAACAACGCTCCCGCTCGAGACCTCCTCCCTTTTTTACTCAAGGCGGTGCTCTTGCTCGCCGGCGACAGCCACCGTCCCGACAAAACCAGCGCTCCCGCCCGAGACGTCCCCCCGTTTCACGCTGGACTGGCGCCCTTTTCTCCTCCTCCTCCTTCTCCTCGTCCTCGTCGTCGTCGTCGTCCTCCTCCTCCTCCTCCTCCTCCATCCTCCCCCCCCTCTCTCTCCTCTTCTTCCCTCTTCCTTCCTCCACCCCCTCCTCTTCTCCCTCCTCCCTCCTCCCTCCTCCGTCCCTCTTTTCTCCCTCCTCCTCCCTCCCCCCTTCTCCTCCTCCTCCTTCTCCTCATCGTCCTCCCTCCTCCTCCTCCTCCTCCTCCTCTTCCTCCTTCTCCTCCTCCGCCTTTTTCCTCCTCCTCCTCCTCCCCTTCCTCCTTCTCCTCCTCTTCCTCCTCCCTCCTTCCCCCTCTCTGTATTCCTCCCTCTTCCTCCCTCCACCCCCTCCTCTCTCCCTCCTCCCTCCTCCCTCTCCCGTCCTTCTTTCCTCCCTCCTTCTCCCGTCCCCTCCCTCCTCCTTTCCCTTTTCGTCCCCCTTGTCTCCTCCTGCCTCCCTCCCCCCTCCTCCCTCCTCTCCTTCCGTTCTCCCTCGTCGCTCCCGTTTGATACTTCTTCACCTTTTACTCGAGACTGGGGCCTTCGTTTCGGCATCGCCTCTGGGGGGCTTCCAAAAGTCCCTGCTGAACCTCAATTATTAAGTAGCTATCATTTTTGGAGAGCAGAGATAATGATGAGGAAGAGGAGAAGAAGGAGGACGGATGACTTCCAGGGACTCCAAGGCTCGAGGATCGAAGGATTGACTTCAGGGGTTCTTTGGAGGATGCGAGCATGGGAGCGGCAACGCTTGGGGGCGTGAGCGTTCAGGGTCACGCGCCGAGGCCGCAGGATGGTGGCGTAACAGTTCGAAAGAGGAGTAATAAACACCGCGTCCTAGGAGGTACTGCTACTACAACTGTTCCTCCTTCCTCCTCCCCCTCCTTCTCCCCCTCCTCCTCCATCCTCCTCCTCCTCTCCCTCTTCCTCTCCCTCATCTTCCCCCCCATCCTCGTCCTCTTCCTCCTCCGCCCAGATGTGGGGCGCGCGCGAGGCGATTGCGATGGCGATGTGCCGTCCGAGCTGTGGATGTTGAAGTTCCTCGGAAGAGGTGGTGGCGATACTTTCTTGGGCGGGGGATCTGGGCGAGGGAATGTCGGGCCCCGCCTGCCAGACAAATCTCCTATGATGGGGTGTGATATCCAGAAGGATGTCTGTGACATGCGGAAGCATGGCACATGATGGTAAAACAAAGATTGTTGCTGCTGTTGGCCCCCGCTCCAGTGACCGTTGCGTTTCCTCAATTGAGGTGCCCCCCATCAGGGCTCGCGCTTTTTCTCCCAGGGAAAGCGGGGGGTCACCAAGCTGGGTTGTTGGGCCCCGAATTATAACAACGATTGCTCCCGCCTGGTACCGCTTCGGAATTTATTCCGAATTCGCGTTCTCGCGCGGGACGTCTCCGACAAGTATGCAGGAATCGCACTCTAGCGTGTGATTCCCATGGAATTTATGCAAGCGCAGCGACACCAGGAATCGCGTTCTGCTTGGCTTTTCTTCCCATAATTGTTAAGGAGTCGCGCTGGCGTTCGAGCTTTCCGAGCGATGCATGCAGTGCTCACGCTTTAGCAACCTCCCTGCTCGACCTGGCCGCCTGGGCCCGCCTTCGCTTCCCGACCCGTCAGTTAGGGCCTGCCCGAGCTTTCCGAACGCTTCATGCAGTACTCACGCTTTAGCAACCTCCCTGCTCGACCTGGCCGCCTGGGCCCGCCTTCCTTTCCCGACCCGTCCGTGAGGGCCTGCCCGCCCGATCAGCCCGTCTGGTTCTGCCACGTTTTCTGTTCCTAGCCCCCCTCCTGCTAGTCTCTCTTTTTCTCTCGCGCTATCACCCTTTCCTCCTCCTTGTCCATTTCTTTCATCCGTCCTCTTTTCCCCTACTGTAATGGCTGCTGAGTTACACGTTGCAAGTAAGAGAATTTACCCCCATGGGGGTACGACCGGAGACGAAAAAGGCAGGTATCGATGGTTTGTGATATACGTTTTGAATGGCACGCGAGCAGATAAGAGCGAACAGTCTTAGCATGAGAGTTGTCGTTGCCGTCGTCGTTGCTGTTGTTGTTGTTGTTGTTGCTGTTGTTGTTGTTGTTGTTGTTGTTGTTGTTGTTGTTGTTGTTGTTGTTGTTGTTGTTGTTGTTGTTGTTGTTGTTGTTCTAGGTGTTGTTGTTGTTGTTGTTGTTGTTGGTATTGTTGTTGATGCTACTGCTGCTGTTGTTGTTGTCGTCGTTGTTGTCGTTGTTGCCGCTGTTGTTGTCGGTGGTGTTGGTGTTGGTGATGGTGATGGTGATGGTGATGGTGATGATCTTGATGTTGATCGTGATATTGATGACGATGGTAAAGAGAAGGCGGAGAAGGACGAGGAGACGGAGGAGGAGGAGGAAAAAAAGGAAGGCGAGGACGTGGGGTGGGTGGGCAGCCGGCCAGAGCGGGGGCGGCAGGAAACACCGCGCCGATCCCTGAACTCGGCATCCCCAGCCTCAACATGCAGGACGCCGCCTCTGGTGGGAAGGGGGGCCCAGGGGGACGCAGGCAGCGCGCGAACAGACTCCTCCATCTCCCCCTTTCCCTCCCCTCCCTTTCCCTTCCCTCCCTCTCCTCCCTTCCCCTCCTTTCCCTCCCCTCCTCTCCCCTCCCTTCCCCTCCCCCTGGCCCCCCTCCCTTCCCCTCCCCGTCCCCTCCTCTGCGCTCTCGCTCTCGCTTTCGCCGTCGCTCTGGCCTGCAGGAGCGGTGGCGCCCTGCGCTCTCCGACGAGGGGCGGGGCACGAGGGTCGGGGCCGCCCGACTTGTGCTGGGCGCTTCGACGACACGCAAGAACACGGACTGAGGCGCGTGGATGAGCGACTCAAGCTTCGCGCGGACCGCTTAGCTTCGACCGGAAGCGGTGCGCTCTCGACCCGCGAATCAAAAGCGTGGATGAGCGACGGGCCCCGTTGCCACACAGTCGGCCCGCACAGCAAGGACGGGCAACCTTCCCAAGGGTCCCCTCGCATCCCTGCCCCCTCGGCCCGTCCTCAGCGACTTTCGCTGGCCAGCCTCGCCCGAAAAGCCTTCACGTGGACCTTTAAGGCCCTTGCATGCTCACCGCGCCTCCTTACGACTCGGGTTGACTGTGCAGAATCGGCGTGCTCCGCCACCAAGTCGGGCGGCACCGGCTTGATGGCGCCAGATCCACGGCTCAGCAGTTCATAGCACAATGTGCCCGAGAGCAGGTGGGTCGGAGGATCGCGCCGCAATGCCGGCGCTGCGGCGCGCTCTGGGGCACGATGCTTTCCGTCCTGGAGCCGCTGATGCGTCGCCGAGGCATCGGCGATGCGGTGCGATGCCCCAGCCCCATCTGCTCTGGCCGCATCCTTGCGGCCTCCAGAGCAGTCTTCTGAACAGCACGATCTCTGCCCCGATCTGTTGGCTCAAGCCGCTCGGGCACACCCGCCCAGCACCCGTCCAGTCTGTTCAGCGGCGGCGAGTCGCCCCGCCGGGCTCGCCAGGAGCGGCCAGCGTGACAGCGCCGCCCGGCGGCGAGATGCCAGGCAGCCGCGAGTCTGGCCCTCGCCCCAGCGGGGCCGCGCGCGAGCTCGTGGAGCGGATCAGGTCGGCGATTGCAAAGGCTGTGGTTACGCCAGGGTGTGGTTTGCGATCTGCGTCGTTGGGGCTTGGGGGATGTCACGTTACCCTCGTCGTGCCTCCTCGAGGTCCTCGCCCGCCCCCCAGGATGCGGTTGCAAGCCGCACCCTTTGCAAACCACACCCGTCGGAGTCGCCGATCAGGGCTCGCAGGCTTGCCGAGGGCCAGGGGTCAGGAGCGGCCCCCGCAAGCCAGGAGTGCCTCGGGAGGCTTCTGCAGCTGGTCTCCTCCGAGCTCAGCGCCGGGAGGTGCCAGTTCTTCCGAGAGCTCGTGCAGAACGCGGATGACAACCAGTATGCGGCGGACGTTGTGCCGGAGCTGAGGCTGCAGCTGGTCACCGGGGGCCTGCTGGTGCGGAACAACGAGCTTGGATTCTGTGCGGACGACGTGGAGGCTATATGCGACATGGCAGCAAGCCAGAAGCGACAGCGGCCAGGTTGCATAGGCCACAAGGGGATTGGATTCAAGAGCGTTTTCCGCTACTGCCAGACACCTTACATCAGGTCAGGCGAGTTTTGTTTCAGGTTGGGTCATGATGCGGCTGATGCGTCTCGCGAAAATGAATCACGTGGGATAAGCTTCATCACGCCGAAGTGGGTAGAGCAGGACGATTTCCCAGTCCCACCGCTGGCTGGCTTCAGCACGAGCATGTTCTTTCCATTGGATTGTTCACACGGGGGAACCACCTCATTCTGTGCGCATTTGCGCGAGGAGTTCAAGCCAGAGCTCTTACTATTCAGGTTGCCTGTGGCAAAAATGAGACCGCGCCAGTACCCCGCAACCGCGCCACGGTGCTTCTTCGGAGGTCTCGTGAACAGGCTCCCGAAAGACATGGTTTTGCGCAATCTCTCCAGAGTTCCTCAGGGGCTTATTGGGATCACCTTTGCGGGTTTTTGGAGCCCTCATTCAGTCCTCTTGGGGCCTGTATGTGCATTTTTCAGATTCTCGTGGCCATGTGGGGCGCAACCATTCTTCTGACCTCTCCCCAATAGGCTTGGTAGAACAATCTCTGGACTGGCTGGGGGAGTGGGGGCCGTCTCGTATTTTTTTGACGATTTCCAGGTCCCCTGGAAATAGCCTTGCCCTTGATGATCTTTGGCGGGCATTGGTGTTGCCTTGAGACTCTCAGGGGCCTTCCTGGGGCCATCTGAAGCCGAGGCAGAACATCCACCCGATGTCCACCGCTTTTAGCCTCCGGTCGGCAGGCATTCTAACCCGCCCACTAGGGGTGCCGAGCGCACGGCGTCGGATTTCTGCGCAGGCTGCGGGTGATCGAGTTTGCAGATGACAGTGGTGCTATCCGCTTGAGCAGACGCGCGTCTGGAAGCGAGGACAGCGTAACGGTGGCAATCGAACAGAGGGAGTTTGGCACAGAACTTACTCGGTTGCAGGAGGCAACGTTTGTGGTTTGGAGGAAAGAGCTCAATGTGCCAAGCACCATCGCCGCTCGGTGGTTCGAAGGTCGCATCGAGGAGCACACTGAATTGGCGTTTGCGTTCTGCCAGGACGAAAACCGCACACTCGTTGAAGCAAGTGAGTCACATGTTTGTTCGTTTCTGCCCGTCTGCGAGTCGGGCTTGAAGTTTCTGGTCCACGGCGATTTCGCATTGTCTGCAAGCAGGGATGAGATTATGGAAGACTCTGAATGGAACGTTTGGCTTTGCGCCCAGGCAGCAGAGATGTTTCGCGCGGCCGCTTTGGACGAATACGGTCACCATTTTTCTCGTAGCTGGCCACTGTTTGTTCCCCTCGAGGCGGAGATAAGACCACGTGGCCTCCGGCACTTTGGGGATTGCTTGCGTCACTTGCTGCGGGGCTGCTCGTGTGTCCCGGTGGACCCTGCAGGTTCTGGAGCAGGGCTCGCCCTGCCCGCCGATGTCCTTCTCTGCGAGGCCCCTTTCACCCAGGTCTTCGACCCTCGGTGCCTGTGGGCGGCCGCCTCCAGGCGCGCAGTGGACCCCTCGTGTGACAGCGCCCGCGCGAGGGCGGTCCTGGAGGCGCTGGGAGCCGACGCGGCAGTCCTGGAGGCGGCCCGCCGCTGCCTGCGGCTGATGCAGATGCAGGACGTGGGCGCCGACTGGTTCTGCGGGCTCTACGCCTACCTGGCGGAGCGCCACCTCGACGACTGCGAGAGCCTCTCCGGCCTCCGGATCCTGCCCGGGGGCGGCGGGCGGCGCCTCGCCCCCGCGGAGGCGCGCGTCTTCCTGCTGCACGACGACTGCGGGCGCGAGTGCGTCCGCCCGCCGCCCGACGTGCAGACCCTGCCGCCCGAGCTCTCCGCGCGGCTGCCGGCGGGGAGCCTCTCGCGGGTGCTGCTCGCGCGGCTCGGTGTGCGGCCCGCCGCGCCGCTGGACGTGCTGGACGCCGCGATACTGCCCCAGTACCAGCCCCGCTGCCGGGACTCGCTCACGCTGGAGGCCTCCGTTCGGGCCGGGCGAAAGGGGGGGATTGGGAAAGGGGGGGTTACGAAATCTGTTGCATGCAGCTGGTTTTGGCCCCGCCTCCCGGCGCCGGGAGGCGCCGGGAAAATCAGCTACGTGAGCTGATTCTCAAACCCCCCCTTTGCTATCCCCCCCTTTCGCCCGACCCGATGCCTCGGCCACCTGCTCTACCTGCAGCGGTGCCTCGACGGGTGCGCACGAGACGTCGCGGAGGCCCACGAGCTGCTGGAGCGCGGCCAGGCCCTGCTGGTGAGGGCGGCGCCCGTGCCCGGGTGGCAGCCGGCGCCGGCCGCGCAGGAGTGGCGCGCCGCCAAGTGCTGCCACATCGACAGCGCAGACGTGCGGGGGCTGTTCCGCGGCGTTCCAGACACCTGGGTGGTGATCCCTTCGTACTCCAGCGCGGGCGTGCTGTCAGAGACGCTCTGGCGCCTGGGAGTGTCCAAGGGCCCGCGCATGGTGCACACTTCGAGGCAGGTGCCGTGGTACGACGCGGACGCCCTCGCAAAAGAGCTGGGCGCCCAGCTGGGAGCCACCAACAGCTACTACGACGTGGACACCGTGGAGATCGAGGCGGAGGTGCTCAGCGCAGCCGCTGGCTGCCCAGAACGCGCCGCCTGCTTGGTGCGGCTGCTGGAAGCCAGCTGGGATGATGTCGGGGAGCCGCTCACTTGGGTGCATGTGGTTTTCTTCCATCGGAGCCGGACGCGCGTCTGCTTGGCACACGGTCTCCATGAGTGCCTGGATCGGCAGTGTGCGACCATCAGGTGCATCCAGCCCCCCTCGGAGAGCCGCTGGCTGCGTTCCCTCGCCGAGCTGCGGAAGCTGGAGGTTCGCACGGCAAGTGGAGGTATCAGTGCGCTGGGGAAGTGCTTCGCGCGGAGCCCAGAGATGCTCGAGTTCTTCGGGGACGAAGTGCCGTATATTGAGTGTGAGGTCGTCTCGCCTGCCTTCCGCGCGGCCCTGGGCATCCAAAGCTCGCTAACAGTGGACACACTCCTGCACAGGCTGTCCCAGCTTGCGCCAGGCAGCGCAGGAGTCCACGCAGTCCACCGAATACGCAAGGCGGAGCTCGACGCCATCCTGAAAATCTACGCTTTCCTGGCGATCCACTGCGCAGATCAGGGTGCTGGCGCTGCGATGCGCTCCGCCTTCGGCGAGGGCTCGCTGATCGTGACCCGCTCTTCCGCGGACTCCGAGCGCGAGGACGGGGACGGCAGCGTGGGCGTCGTCTGGAGCAGGGTGCCAGAGGCGCGCTGGGCGGGCAACGAGCAGCTCTATGGCGGCCGCTACGTCTTCCTGCAGCGCCAGCTCGAGCCGGGCCTGAAGAAGCTGTTCGTGGAGACCATCGGCGTGGCGCCCCGCACGGACGCGGAGGACTCAGGAGGGGAAAAGACGCACAGGGGAAATGACGCAAGTCACAAGACCTGGGAACATGTTGGAAACTGTGGGAAGTGGGGGGGAAGACGAAAACCCAGAAATATGGGAAAATATGGGGAACCCTGGGACCCAGACCCCCGACGCCATCATTCTTTCATGACGCGACCCCCAGATGTCCAGACCCATTCCCTGGGACCGGTTTCTCATCCCGAGTCGTTTTTTGACGTCCCCGAGGTCCGGTGAGGGGCCCCACAGGCCGAGAATGGGGAAACACCTCCCGTCGTGACGCTTTCATGACTCGAGGGGGTCTGGGATTTGTGCGTAGCTGTTTGTGTGTCCCCGGGCCCCTTCGAGGACGCCCTCCGCGAGCTGAGCGCCCTCGCCGCCGCCGGGCCCGAGCCCGCGGCGCCGCAGGCGTCCCGGGCGCGGCAGCTGCTCCTGGAGCTCGCTCGGGAGCTCGCCAGCGACGCCCCGCCGCCCCTGCAGGAGCGGCCCTGCGCGCGAGAGGGGCCCTTCGCTGGAGTGACCTTCCCAGACCCCCTCGAGTTATGAAGAAATCACGACGCGAGGTTTTTGTAGTAGTCGTAGTCGTAGTCGTAGTCGTAGTCGTAGTCGTAGTCGTAGTCGTAGTCGTAGTCGTAGTCGTAGTCGTAGTCGTAGTCGTAGTCGTAGTCGTAGTCGTAGTCGTAGTCGTAGTCGTAGTAGTCGTAGTCGTAGTCGTAGTCGTAGTCGTAGTCGTAGTCGTAGTCGTAGTCGTAGTCGTAGTCGTAGTCGTAGTCGTAGTCGTAGTCGTAGTCGTAGTCGTAGTCGTAGTCGTAGTCGTAGTCGTAGTCGTAGTCGTAGTCGTAGTCGTAGTCGTAGTCGTAGTCGTAGTCGTAGTCGTAGTCGTAGTCGTAGTCGTAGTCGTAGTCGTAGTCGTAGTCGTAGTCGTAGTCGTAGTCGTAGTCGTAGTCGTAGTCGTAGTCGTAGTCGTAGTCGTAGTCGTAGTCGTAGTCGTAGTCGTAGTAGTAATAGTAGTAGTGGTAGTAGTAGTAGTAGTAGTAGTAGTAGTAGTAGTAGTAGTAGTAGTAGTAGTAGTCTAGTAGT